CTAAAGACAAAATCGATAGTTTATCTAATAAACTTGCAAGCTGGCTAGGTCAAAACTCAAAATGCATGTGTGGATTAATTAATTGAAGCTGTATTCTTGATCAGTTTAATGTTATATTAATTATGTATTGCATTTCTTGAGATTAATGAACATGTATACTAAGATTAGGTTAGACACATTGGCTTGATGTTTAGCTTTAGTAGTTCCTAAAATATCAATTGACATAAAAACTAATAGATACAACAACCACTAGTACTCTTCTCAAATAGCAATTTGTAAAATAATACCTTTTTTCGTCTATATTTTTTCTTGATAATGTTTAACAAATAAGAAAACACAACTCAAGGTCATCTATATTGTTTCGTCTACTTTTACATATTAGGACTTATCCTACACTTAGTGAGCTGTACTTCAAAATCTACTAAGGTCATCTCGAACGATCTGTAATATTTTAGTGCAAAACCCGCACCAAACTTCAATCATTAAAAAATCACATTCGAAATTCTGCACCAAAATAAATATTCTCCAAATATTTTTTATTATTTTATAATAAATATATTATTAAATTGTAACTACATAGTTTTATAAATATTATAATGACCTCTATTCGTTTTCAATTTAAAATTTAGCCTGACAAAATATAACTTACATTAATGCAATTAATGAAAAAGAAAAAAGAATAACATAAAAGATAGCGTTTTTAGTGTCATTTTTCTTTTTGCTCTACCTAATTGGAAATAAACAACACAGTCGTGTTTGGTGCTTTTAGTATTGTTTTTATTTTTAATTGTTATCGACTCTCTTTAATCACAACAACTTGCAACAACTCGTGGCGATGACTTCCATAAATGCAATTAATAATAATAATAATAATAATAAAGACAATGTTGGTTTTTTGAGCAGCAACATTTTTGTTCATCTTTATTTATTTTCTTTTTTAATCTATATATATATATATATATATGTGTGTGTGTGTGGAATTTTATAATTTTGTGGTATTTGATTATGACCCCAACAGCTAATAATGCTGAGTGCATCCGCAAATAAGCTGTCAAATTTGAAAGAACGTGCCAAGGAATACGCCTCCTTAATAATGGAAGAGCTTGACCCTGAACGTCTTGGCTACATTGAGGTATATATATATGCCTAGAATTGTTTTTACCTACTCCAAAATTATTGTTTTTGTCAAGTCAATTTTATTTTATTTTATTTCGAAATAAGATAAGTTTCCATAAGTCCATGTACGTTAGTTTTTTGCCTTTTTTTTTTAATAAATAGAGTATATAGTATACTAATTTGACAATTTCTATTTTATTAATTGATTTGGTTGGATCTTCTTTGCCATATTGATTGAGTGGTGATTGCTTCCACCAAGATTTGTAAAATTTTTTATGCTTAACTAAGTTGATTTGTCATACTTTTTTTTAGCAAAGATGCATACTTATGTTGTTTTCTATTAGTACGATATTTTAATTTAAATATAATGCACGATTGTTAAAAAATATGTCTTACAGTTAGGTTAGTCTAGCAGTAATTTTATTATAAATATAAAGAAGAAATATTAAAAACAATAAATAACAACATACAAATTAACCTAATTACTGCATTAATTGAATTTTCTCCAATCTTAGTTATAACTACTGAAGACCTGACTTCATGAGCCCATATGTCTTACTTGACGAGTCCATATTCTTTTAGACAAAACCATGTAATTTTCTCCCATCTTAGTTATAACTACTGAAGACCGACTTCACGAGTGCACAAGTTTTTTGTTTTTATACTAATTAAACCATGATCTTTTCACAAAACACTGTTATTAGTCTTTCTAACAATTAAAAAATTACGTTTTCTGTGATTTTTTACTTGTCATAGGAACATGTCCTGGGACCTTGAATATTCTTCAAACTACTAAAGAATATATGTATAATCGTATTGCATCACAATTTTGTCGTTTCAAGGAAAATTGTAAGATCAATTAAGTAACAAGGTTGGCTTCATCAGTTAGCAGAAAATATCATTAATAATTAGCTACCCAATATTCTGACTTCCAGGGAACTTTTCTTTTAAAAATAAAAAAGGAAAAAGATTTGCAATGTCAATTGGAGCATTAGTATTAACAAATATTCTG